TTTTTCATGTATATTTATTTTTTTATTTGATATTGCTAATGTTTTCCTTTTTTGTTCATCATCATAGTACATACCAAATTTGAAGTATGATTAGCTGCAGCTTATTGACTCTTTCTTGTAATGTGCATGTTTCCTGTTACAAAGCCAACCTAGGTGACTATGTCTCCAGGCAGCCATTATGTGATGCCATCACTATGGGGTCTATGTTTAAAAAGTTTGTCATGCGACTGTGACAAACATTTCCGCAATTAGGGCAAAAATTGCCCCGCTTTCTCTTTTATGTGTGAATCCTATATTGTCAACACCACCTAATAGCCATAATATGTTTTTTAAGAAATACTAAATAAGAAAAAAATGTATTAATGCCACAAGATGGGGCTGACAATATAGAAATCACACATAATAGAGGAAGTATGGCAATTTCTTGTGATGTGTTTCCTCTGATAACTATGTCTACTGGTGGCCATTTTTTTTTTTTTATTATTATTATTTATTTATTTCAGGTACTTATATAGAGCTGTAAATTTACTCAGCACTTTACATACATATGTTGTATATTCACATCAGTCCCTAACCCTCAGGGGTGTACAATCCAAGGTCCCTAACTTGCATTCATACATACACATACTAGGGCCAATTTAGACAGGATCCAATTAACCTACCAGCATATCTTTGGAGTGTGGGAGGAACCTGGAGTACCTGGAGGAAACCCACGCAAGCACAGAGAGAACATGCAAACTCCAGGCAGGTGGTGCCATGGTTGGGATTCAAACCAGTGACCCTAGTACTGTCAGACAGAAGTGCTAACCATTAAGCCACTGTGCTGCCCCGGCTTTCAAGCACATGGGGATGCAGTATTGTTTGTTTTTTTAATCAGTTTTTTCCCTTTTTTTGTGATTCTAAATGATTGCTTATTAACACCATCCAGTTAATTTGATGATCCATCATCTACACTGTATTTTTAGATGATAACTGTTTTGCCCCTATTGTTATGATTCATTTTTACTGCCATTTGACCTTACCTCACCCTGCACCTATTAAATTGCAATATGTGATGCCTTCACTGTGGGGTCTGTGTATAAAATGTTTGTCATGCAGATGTACAAACATTTGTGCAATCAGAGCAAAAATTGCTGTACTTTCTCTAATATGTGTGATTGTTAGATTGTCAGCTCCACCTAGTACCCATGATTAGTTTTTTTTTCTAGAAATACCTAAATCAGGAAAAAATACTGTGGCCACTAGATGGTGCTGACAACATAGGAAACACCCAACAGAGGAAGTACAACAATTTTCATCCTGATTGCTGGAATGTTTGTCACATCCACACATTTAGGGCTGGTTCACACCAGATGCGGTCCAGTGTGTTTTTTTTTTTCTGCATCAAAAATGCTTGCACAGTATTTTCCATTTATTCCAATTGCCCTAGTTCACACCAGTGAAATCAGTTCCAGTCAGTTTTAGGTGCAGAAACCAAAGTAGTACATACTGCATTTTTTTCTGCACAGATCCATACAGGAACAAAGCAAAATGTATTAAAAACATGCACCGGAAAGAAGTGTGGTGTGAACTGTAAGTAAAAACGCATCCGGAGTAAGTTTTTGTGGTGTAAACTGGCCCTGAATAATTTATATACTGTATAGACCTCATATTTGGTGTTTTGGGGGTGAGATTCAGGGGTATATATGTTTGGACATTCATTAGCCTCATTTCTTTGACAATGATGGTCTGCAATCCATTGGAATCTTAAACAGAAACTCCTCTTGTATGGACACATATGAGTGCCTCTATTCCTTTCTATTTATTATCTGTCTATTTATCTATCTTTAGAATATTTTTTGTAATTTACTGATGTTGGTGTATGAACACATTATGTTTATAATGTTGTACGCTTAGATCAAAAGCTTTGTACAGTGCCGATGACACCAAATGGACATCTGGAAAGCACCCCCATAACAAGCCGACAGATCACTGGTGGAATCATGAATACATCTAGAAATTCTCTACAAAGAGATCAAGTACTTGTAGCTGTGGACTGCAGGAAAAGCAGTGTGTCATGTCTCTTGGCCGTATAACCTATGATCAGAGGTCACAAGTAAGGAGAAAATCCTATTTCTATCTTTTAGCAGATTTTAGCAATACAATTACTGTACAAATATGACATGTAAAGCCCTATTATGTATTTTATTTATCTTTTCTTTTTTTAATTTTTGGATAGACTGGGTTAAGGTTAGAAATTCCAGAAGAATTATGTGGCTTTTCTGTGTTGTCACTGGAGAGGTTTACGATATATGCTTTCCTTACACTTTCTTTCCTGATGAAGGTCTGCACTGAGCACATCTATAAATCAGGCTGATCATTAGCTAATTAAAGAGAAATTAATGGATAGAAGTCTAGTAACATGCTAGAGATTCACATATTTAGAACAAGCTTTCAGACTTTTGTCATATACTCATACAGTATACTAGCCAGTTAAGGCATGAAATATTCAAACTCATAATCTATTGTTCCAGAGTGCAACTAAGTACTACATATCCTTCATTGAACACGTTCATAAGAATACAATGTAGTTAATATATTAAAATGGTGCAGTATTCAATTAATTTGTGTTTTGGGTATTATTTTCACACCTTTTTTAGCACATATGTGGCCTTTATTTGGTAATTGTTTTTAAAAATACCATGAGTATATTTCTTACTATAACAAAATAGAACAAAGGGTGCAAACGCCTATTACATCATCCACAGCACTTTATTATACAATAGAAATAGTGCATACTCACAAAAGCTAAAATGACAACAATGTTGTATGTAAACCAAGGAACCCTAGGGCCTGTCCAAAGGATCTGTAATGTGACGTGATGCCTCTGGTTCAAATGGATTTCATGTAACCCGCTGACATTAGGGGATGGGTATACAAGCAAGAGTATAATATAAGCATGTAATTTTATTATTTTATATTGTGTTATGAATTATTTCATCTGGAGCTTTCATATTCGACATGTTGAACCCCCCAGGTGTAGTACAATATGTACCATAAATGTAAATCATCTGAAGAGGGGCAGAGTGAGACATTGCTGACCTCAAGGTTTAACATCCAGAGCAATTTTTTCAATTTACTATAAAGATTCTTTCATATATATATATATATATATATATATATATATATATATATATATATATATATACATACATATACACATATATGTATATATAATTGAGACATGTTCGTTATTAGTAATGAGTAGAAAGTGGTGTCTGCCTATTATCACAAATAAGGCTTCTAGAAATTAAAAATTGTTTTCCTCTTCTTTTTTTTAGATGTATAGAGCACCTTTTATTTTCAGTTCCAGACTTCTGGTCTGTTACTTTTTTTTGTTATTGATATTTCTTCTTTTTTTTTTCTTTCCTTTTGTGTTCCAATGTTCAGAGCCAAGTGGAGATGACATATTTTTGGGCCCGGACATCTTGTGTCAGAGGGGGTGGGGCCTGCAAATACTAGTGGCACTCTATTTACTTTCTCTGGAATTCCTTAGCGCTATGGTGTCAAGTTATTATTCTTTTGTGTATATTTGTTTTAATGAACAGAGAGATGGACAGAAATGGGAAAACAATTCAGTTTTAGTTTTTTAATGTGTACCATTTATTATATAATTAATACTGTTCTTAGCATTTTATCAAAATTGTTTTCTCTGTTTTATTTTCAGTACAAGGACCCCAAATACATGTAGGATTTGATACATATGTCAACATTGTATGGTTACTAAATAAAAAGCTTTCTAGATATGATGTATAACTACAATAAATAACAAAAATATGTCAAGGCAAACTTTTTTTGCACTTGCAAAACAGAAAAAAGTGAAAATATCCAAAATTGTAAACACCAATATAGCACATTGAATGTCAAATATTTTACATGGTGCTCCAGATGAATTCAGGCTCAGCATTCCACAATCACATCTCAGGTGCTAGCTCAGCTCTTCTCCAGTCAGTTGTATTGGCAAGGCCCCTTTCACAGACTCCACCTGCGATTTTCTTGCTGAGCACCGGATTTGTTTGCTGATCCCCGCTGAGCAGGCGGGTTGACAGGTCTGTGTCTGCTCCTCTAAGGGCGGTTGCATGTAAATGGACTATAAATACATAAATGTCCCACAACTTAATAAATGTCCCAAAATACTTTCATAATCCAAAAATTATCTGTGTGAATATTCCAATTTGATTTGTAGATAATCCAGTGTAGACTTTTCAAACTCTTCGTGAACCTCAGAACAAAAAAACTTAACTTTGGGGGTTATCTCTCCTCCCAAAAAAAGTATAAGGATGTTTGCTTTTAATGGTTTTTATCCTTGCAGAAAATGTAAAATGTGCAAAACTATGGGGATAAAAGAAAGGAAAATTACGAATTTTAAATTGGTAGCAACCGGTGAAGAATTTACCATTAAAAAATTTATAACGTGTAATACAAAGTACGTTACATATGTACTAGAGTGCCCTTGCCAATTCCAATATGTAGGAAGAACTAAAAGAAACCTGAGTGAGAGATTGAAAGAACATGTAAAGAATATCAAAAGGGTAAAAAAGACCATAGTGTCTCTCGACATTTTAAGGAATTCCATAAATCAGATCCGAGTAAGTTAAAATTTTATGGGATTGATATGGTTGATGCACATTGGAGGGGTAATAATATGATACAGAGGATCTCGCAGAATGAGACATTTTGGATATTTAGATTAAATACTATTAAACCAAAAGGTCTTAATATTGAATTGGATTTGAACTGTTTTATTTCAGATGTTTAAAAGGGGATTATGGTATAATATATACCGTATTTGCCGGCGTATAAGACGACTGGGCGTATAAGACGACCCCCTACTTTTCCTGTTAAAATATAGGGTTTGAGCTATACTCGCCGTATAAGACTACCCCTCTTCCAACGCACACCAAATAAAAATGAAAAAACATCAGATTTGATTTCAATATGGTATGCTATTTCAGTATGGTATTCCAATGATGGGGTGCTATTCCTCCCACTGACACCAATGATGGGGCATGATTCCTCCCACTTATACCAATGATGAGGCACTACTCCTCCCCCACTGACAATAATGATGGGGCACTATTTCATCCACTGACACCAATGATGGGGCACTATTTCATCCACTGACACCAATGATGGGGCACTATTTCATCCACTGACACCAATGATGGGGCACTATTCCTCCCACTGATACCAATGATGGGGCACTATTCCTCCCACTGATACCAATGATGAGGCACTATTCCTCCCACTGATACCAATGATGGGGCGCTATTCCTCCCACTGATACCAATGATGGTGCCCCATCATTAGTGTCAGTGTGTGAGGAATAGTGTCCCATCATTAGTGTCAGTGGGAGGAATAGTGCCCCATCATTAGTCAGTGGGAGGAATAGTGCCCCATCATTGGTGTCAGTGGGAAGAATCGTGCCCCATCATTGGTGTCAGTGGGAGGAATAGTGTCCCATCATTAGTGTCAGTGGGAGGAATAGTGCCCCATCATTAGTGTCAGTGGGAGGAATAGCTCCCCATCATTGGTGTCAGTGGGAGGAATAGCGCCCCATCATTGGTATCAGTGGCAGGATTTGCTCCCCATCATTGGTATCAGTGGAAGGAATAGTGCCTCATCATTGGTGTCAGTGGGGACTAGTGCCCCATCATTGGTATCAGTGGGGAGAAAAGTGCCCCATCATTGGTATCAGTGGGGAGAAAAGTGCCCCATCATTGGTGTCAGTGGGGGGAGGAATAGTGCCCCATCATTGGTGTCAGTGAGGAGGAGGAATAGTGCCCTATCGTTGGTGTCAGTGGGGGAGGAACAGTGCCCCATCGTTGGTGTCAGTGGGGGAGGAATAGTGCCCCATCGTTAGTGTCAGTGGGGGAGAGGAGCGGCTGCTCCTTCTTTCAGTTCAGCCGCTTGATTTTCGCGGTGCCGTTCGGCTCCGCCTCCTCGCCGGTGATTGGTCGCCTGTGTGCCTCTCCAGTGCTGGCGCCCAATCACCGGTGAGGAGGCGGAGCCGAGCGGGCGGCGGCGGGACCATCGAGCCGCCGAACTGAAAGAAGGAGCAGCCGCGCTTCCTGGACCGGATCGTCGTGGGACCGGGACCGGAGCCAGGTAAGGAACAGCAGCCCCTCTGCCCACCCCTGTACTTGGTGTCCATTGGAGGAGGAGGGGGGTGGAGCCGCCCCTCGAAAAAGTGCCGCCCTGACACTGGCTCGCCGTATACCGGCGTATAAGACGACCCCCGACTTTTCAAAAGATTTTCACGGGTTCAAAAGTCGTCTTATACGCCGGCAAATACGGTATGCTGTTTTAATATTTAATATTTTAATATGGTTATTTGAGAATTATTTACACATATATATGAGTTTTATGCTGCAAAAAATATTTAAAAATAAATTTTAGTAAAATTTTAATCAATTAGTAATATTAATAGAAATGGGTTGAAGAATATTTATTATAATATGTAGTATCAGGTTTTAGTGATTGTTACTAGGGAGTGCGGTATTTATGTGTCTGAGTAAATAGAGTTCCCAAATGGATAGCAGAAGGGGTTTATACCCTATGGATAAATAGTGTGAAATAGGTTTAAATATTTATTTGAATTAATCTATTTATTTACATAATTGAGAGTCACGTGTACCTGGGGCCTTATGGTTGAATTATAAATTGATTAATATGGGATTCCATATAGAAAGAAAAGGTATTAAGGTTGACCAGTAGAGGGAGTCAGTATCATGAGATAATGAATTTATGTGTATATTAAGAGATGTGATTTTATTTTATTTTATTTTATTTATTTATATAGAATAAGTGTTTTCAGTTAGAAAAAATGGTTTTATTAAAGATTAAATATATGTTTTATGTTGTTTTAGAGGTAAAGCTGTGTATAATAGTCTCCTATATATTGAAATATGGTATGGAGATAGTATAGGGATCAGGGGATAGAAGATTTAGCTATGAATCCTATAGAGATATAGGTATGGTGGGCAGTGATGTGGGTAGTATCGCTGTATGATCTGTGGTTAGGTATTGTTATAGAAATGTGGCCGGTTTTTCCATTCAATAAGATGGTGGTTTGGGCTTCCTGCCCTTAATAAGGGACAGAATATAAGCAACCGCCTCCCAGATGTCTTGATCCCTTGAGAAAAAGTCCAGGAAGTGACAAAACGCGTCAGTCAACGTGACGGCTGATGCATTCACGCAAACCGGAAGTGCAACAATGGCCATTTTGAAAGTGGGAAACGGCATTTCGTACTCGATTTGGCCATTTTGAGTATTTGGTCATGCCATTCGGACTCTGCAATGCCCCGGCCACGTTCCAACATTTCATTAACGATGTATTCAGAGACTATCTTGATATTTTCGTGATTGTCTATTTGGACGACATACTAATATTCTTTTCCTCACTCGAAGCTCATAGGGGTCATGTGACAAGTGTATTGGAACATTTGCTCCAACACGGTCTGTATGCCAAAGCTGACAAGTGCAGCTTCGAGCAGCACAGTATTGCATTTCTGGGGCTGATCATCTCCACCACGGGGGTTGCGATGGATCCTCAGAAGGTCTCGGCGATCTTGGATTGGCCAGTACCCACGGATAAGAAAGGCATACAACGCTTTATTGGGTTTACATCAATATATAAAACAAGCATGCAGCGCTCCTATATGATATAAAGCAAACAAAATACCAAACACATGTATGTTACTTTGAATTTGAGATATATGCTTATATGTGTGCAAAATGGTGCATAACGCACATAGCTATGTATCGCCGAGCATGGATAAGTTCATAAATAGATTTCCCAAGTTAAAATGTGAAGATGAGTGACAGTCTGTTTGTAGCAAACATCAAAATATTCGTGACATCAGATGGTGAGGAAATGAGAATAATATGCACTAACCAGATAGCGCTATATAAAACGCATGTAGATGATGAAATCATCTAGGTGTGAGCATCTTGACCAGGTGTTCTGATTATGGCAACATCTATCGCAGCTTTTCAACAGGGTTTCCAAATGGCAGAGCTATGATTGAAGACCACCGGAGGGAGCCAGCAACCAGGATCTCTTTAGACCAGGTATCCCAAAGCATATAGTATGTTCGCCAACCACCAGAGGGAGAAAGAGCTCAGGAGAATATCCAATAGTTTCCTTAGGGAAAATTGGCTCAAGCAAAAAAGAGCCAGAGGACAAAAATATCCAAGTGCAGCATTACTTTATTTAGATAGAAAGTCACTGAGGGCAGCTTTCTGACATGTTTCGTTCCAAGCACGTTCTCAAAGAAAGCTTTCTTTGAGAACGTGCTTGGCACGAAACATGTCAGAAAGCTGCCCTCAGTGACTTTCTATCCACGTGGACCTCTTCTGTCTGGCCAATGGGCCTTTTTGCATATCATGTGAGTTATATTTTATCATTTCTCTGCAAATTCTAAATAAAGTAATGCTGCACTTAGATATTTTTGTTCTCCGGCTCTTTTTTGTTTGAGCCAATTTTCCCTAAGGAAACTATTGGATATTCTCCTGAGCTCTTTCTCCCTCTGGTGGTTGGCGAACATACTATATGCTTTGGGATACCTGGTCTGAAGAGATCCTGGTTGCTGGCTCCCTCCGGTGGTCTTCAATCATAGCTCTGCCATTTGGAAACCCTGTTGAAAAGCTGCGATAGATGTTGCCATAATCAGAACACCTGGGTCAAGATGCTCACACCTAGATGATTTCATCATCTACATGCGTTTTATATAGCGCTATCTGGTTAGTGCATATTATTCTCATTTCCTCACCATCTGATGTCACGAATATTTTGATGTTTGCTACAAACAGACTGTCACTCATCTTCACGTTTTAACTTGGGAAATCTATTTATGAACTTATCCATGCTCGGCGATACATAGCTATGTGCGTTATGCACCATTTTGCACACATATAAGCATATATCTCAAATTCAAAGTAACATACATGTGTTTGGTATTTTGTTTGCTTTATATCATATAGGAGCGCTGCATGCTTGTTTTATATATTGATGTCATCCCAAGAGGTTTTCTGAGGTTTTACCCTTTTATGCTAAGCTGCTCCACTATACAGATCTAGCGCTCGTTTTTTCTTAGATATTTGTTTGCTTTATTGAGTTTGCTAACTTTTATAGAAAGTTTATCAGGAACTTCTCTGGTCTGGCCTCCCCCATTACCCAGTTGACCAAACAAGGGGTCTGCTTCAAATGGACGCCCGAGGCTCAGGCAACATTCGAGTCTTTAAAGAAGCTATTTACCACCGCTCCCATCCTCAGTCACCCTGACTCCTCTCTGCCTTATGTCCTGGAAGTAGATTCCTCAGAAAATGCAGTAGGGGCCATTCTGTCCCAGCGAAAGGCCACTGGGGAACTTATGCACCCAGTGGCGTTCTTTTCGAGGAAACTTTCATCGGCAGAAAGAAACTACGACATTGGAGATCAAGAACCAGTGGGCTGCTAGAGGTACCGCCAGGCGGTTCCTTACACTTCCTCAGTCAGACACAGAAAGACTTAGCAAATCTCAACTCGCACGAAAATAGCAAAGCTTGGACCTACGCTAAACACCAATTTGACACCTTGGCAGCAGCCCAGGAAGCTCTGTACCACTCCCACCTCGACCTGAACTATCACAAATTTGGCAACAAACTGGGCAAGCTGCTAGCACGGCTATGCAGAAAACCATTTATACCCACGCTAGTGGTTCTATAAGTAGGGCGAAAATTATGGGGGACAGGGGGCAGCCCTGTCTGGTTCCATTGGATATGTAAAAGGGTTGTGAGAGCGTGCCGTTAGTTAGTACTCTGGCAGAGGGTTTGGAGTAGAGGGCGAGGATCGCCGACAGCATCCAATCAGTTATGCCGAATTTTTGTAGTGTAAGTGTCATAAATTTCCAGTGAATTCGGTCGAATGCCTTTTCCGCGTCCAATGATAGAAAGAGGGAGGGTCGTTTGTCAGATTCAAGGTGATGCAGTAGTGATATAATTCGCCTGGTAGCATCAGGAGCCTGTCTACCAGGTATAAAGCCCACTTGGTCTGGGTGAATTAATGTAGGTAGGTATGGGAGTAGTCTTTGGGCAATTTTTTGGCGTATATTTTTATGTCTGTGTTAAGTAGCGAGATCGGCCTGTAGTTTTGGGCCAATTGGGGGTCTTTGCCCGGTTTCAGGATAGTTGTGATTATCGACTGTAGCATGTCAGGGGGGAATTCCCCGTTAGACGCAACGTGATTATAAAGGGCAGATAGGTGTGACTTAAGATTGGGTGCGGATGTTTTGTAGAATTCATTGGTGAAGCCATCGTTCCCTGGCGATTTGTTTAAGGGTAGGGTGGTTATGACTTTTCAATTTCTATGGGTGAGATTGGCACTGAGAGAGATTCGATTTGAGAGGGGGTGATGCGGGCGAGGTTAGTGTTACGTAGGAAGTGTTCAATGGAAGGAATCCTTGGTTGAGTTGTATTAGGGTCGTCTTTTATGTTGTATAGATTCTGATAATGGGATGCAAAGGCGTTGGCAATATCCTGTGGGTTTAAAAGAGGAGAGTGCGTGGTTGGGTGTTGGATCGTAGATATTTTGGTCCTAAGTCATTTTTGTTTGATGATTTTAGCGAGAAGTGAATTTGCTTTGTTTCCGAGTGCATATAATTTGGTCTTTGTTTTTTGGAGGTTAGTGTCATAAGAGTGGAGTAAAAGAGTGCGTAATTTGTTTTCTATTTGTTTTGAGTCGCGGATGTGGAGGGATTAGGGTTTTTTTTGTTAATTTCTTTGTTTAAGTTGATGGAGGTTAGAAGTTGGTCAATTTGTTGGGAACGCTGTCTATTTATACGGGAGTTTAATTGTATGAGGATACCTCTCATGTAGGCC